GATTCAAAGGAGAATCAGAAGGCTGAATCCCGACTGACAGAGGCGGAGCTGGGGATGGAGGAGGGTAATTAGCTATTGAGCCAACACGAAAGCTGCTGATAATACTGAAGGACCTTATATAAGGATGCTTTGATAGGCGTCGTTTCCCTATAGGTAGACGTGGATCAGCTGAGAGTCAGCTGATGCGAGCTTGACTGACGTGACCTGCCAGAACTAACGCTACGCTTGATATTTGCTAATTTGTAAATATTTTGTCATTTTAGATTTATCTATGTTTTGAGTCATTGTAGATAAATAGCCCTATCATATTGTACCTAATAAAGAAATAAATTATTGTGCATTGGAACACTTTTCATTTTTATAGAATTTCTTTGTTATTAATGGCGCAGTGACGTTCCATGGGGTGGTTATGTGGTCTGACCAATAGCAAGAGGTTTTGTTTTGCACAACCAGAGGCGTGTTCATGATGACATGTGTTGTGTTAGTGTAGACGTGAGCAGACGCACCTCTTTGACTCTCTGGATCATGGGTTGCAGCCAGTCTGTGTTGACCTCACAGTGACTGTCCAGTAAGGTGAGGATGGAGGCCGAAGCCGCAGACGCCCCTCTGACACGAGACCGGATCAGACCTGACCAACACCAACACATGTTCATTCCAATTCATAACACATCACCATTCCAAAATAATGATAACAACACTAAATAATACATTCATTGAGTGCACAGATGAAGCTTATCAGCTGAGGCTTGTTTCTCAGGTTAACCCAGGTGAAAAAGAAGTACTCTTAAATGTATTACAAATATACTTGAAATTCAGATAGTATATTTATAGTACAATTGCACTCCTAACAAGCTTACTTGAAGTGTGTTAAAAATGTATTGAATTGCATTTTAATATATTTTTAAAATGTATACTAGAAGTACTTTGGTAATAAATATATGCTTAGTTACGCTTTTAATAAATATGTTAAAACACAAGCATACATTTGTGACATTTTAGTGTATTTACAGAAAACATACTTATTTTACTCTTACTTAAAAGTATATTTTATGTTTACTTTGTGTAAGAACATAGTAAAATGATACAGCTTTTAGTGATTTTAAAGTATATGTATCTTATTTATAAACCATATGTAGACATACTGCAATATATATTTAAATATTTATGTAATGAACATGTGCTTCAGCCTGCTTTTCAAAAGGAAGATATGTTAAAAAACATTTTTAACATTTTAATATATTTCATAAAGTATATTAATTCACTCACAAATACATTATCTATAAAATAAGCAAAAGTATTCTTACATTGTACCATTCTTACATTGTTGTCAACTACGCCTTAGTAAAATAGCATACTTAAAATCAATATATTGTTCGGTTTTACTTGTTTGTACTTGTAAAAGAATACTAGTCTGTTTTGCAATACAATTCAAATATATTTTAATTTAACTTTTAAATACATGATATATTAATTGTAATAGGCTACTATTTAACTGTACAAGCATTTCAACATTGAATAATTTGAAGTGCATCATGAATAATTTTTCCAAAGATATGCTTAAAATAACTATTTATTTACTTGTTTATGTACCTAAATTCAAACAAGCTCAGCTTACCACGTGACGCGCGAAAACAAACCTCATTGGCTTTTGTGGAAGTTTAGGCGTGCTTGCGTAACACGTGTTACAGAACCTGATTGGTTCTCGAGCATCAGGGCAAGCATATCTGAGCTTCCGTTTACTAGTTCTGTTGGTTGTGTGTATGTGCGTTGATGGATGTGAATAAAAGTTTAAATTAAAACCGTTAAGTCATATAGAGCGATCACGTCTCTTTAGAGGACTTGGGAGAAACCGATCGATTCAAATGGATTACTTTTGCAATGTTTGAAGTCATGAAACGTGAACAATTTTGGTGACTTTCAGCGGAGGGACATACACTGAACAAAATTATAAACGCAACACTTTTGTTTTTGCCCCCATTTTTCATGAGCTGAACTCAAAGATCTAAGACTTTTTCTATGTACACAAAAGGCCTATTTCTCTCAAATATTGTTCACAAATCTGTCTAAATCTGTGTTAGTGAGCACTTCTCCTTTGCCAAGATAATCCATCCACCTCACAGGTGAGGCATATCAAGATGCTGATTAGACAACATGATTATTGCACAGGTGTGCCTTAAGCTGCCCACAATAAAAGGCCACTCTAAAATGTGAGCCTAAGGCACACCTGTGCAATAATCATGCTGTCTAATCAGCATCTTGATATGCCACACCTGTGAGGTGGATGGATTATCTCGGCAAAGGAGAAGTGCTCACTAACACAGATTTAGACACTGTTGGGGCTCTGAGTGTCATGCTAACTTTGGATTCAGCACTTCTGTCGAAGAGATGTTAGGCCTCCATAACCTTATGTTCAATGTAACACAGAGTGCTGTATGGTGACGACTCCAAGCTTTGAAAGGTGAGAACAGAAATTCTATGCATATCTATGCAAATTATAATACATATGATATTCAAAAACACCACTCAAAACCACCGATTCATTTATAATACATATGATATTCAAAAACACCACTCAAAACCACTGATTAATTCTTTTTCCTTTCACAGACCCTGTGATGCAGTTTTCATAAGACCACAGTGTCTGAATTACAAGCCCTCAGTTGCAGAAAATGCAACAAGTCGTACTCAAATAAAAGTGATCGTCCACTTGAACATGGTGATGGTGACATTTAAAATTTTCTTCCTTTGTTCGGTTTAGCCATTTGCAGGCTTAACTTTGTAAAAAAAAAAAACAGCACTTTATTCACACCTGCGCTTTATTGTTTTTCAGTAACTTCTTTATGTGTGTGTGTGTGCACGCGCAAAATTGCATTGTGATTCATTTTTATTCAGTGATGGAATATTTATAGTGTACTTTCCAGTAATACAGGTATAACAGAAATGTTCTACAAATTGATTGAAATAGTTCTTTTATAGCATTTCACTGATCTTTATTTTAATTTATTATAATTTATTATAAATTATTTTGGTCAAGAGTTTGTATATGCTGCTGTACTTTTTAAAAGTACTCAATGAATTAATTGTTGTAATGTACACAATATATAGCAAATTAAAGTTTTCTAGATGTGAAAGTGTGTGTACGTGTGTGTAATGCTCATTTAATGATTTTTGTACTTTTTAATATAGCTTTATAACAAACTAATAGTGTGTTGGTGATTTATGATGAGTTGAAATGCTATTGAAAATGTACTAGAAGCACATTAAAGTGAAGCTTAAAATACAGTATATTCTAACTGTACTTCAAGAAGTATAAAAGTGTATTGTAAATAATGTGAAGAAGTACAATTAAATTACACTTAAGTTACTTTAAGTTGTTCCATTTTAACACAACTAAATATATTAAAATATATTGCAATTAGCTTAAAGTTCATCTTAAGCCTATCTTAAAGAGCACTTAATATATTTTGTTCCAAAACACATTTATTATGCACTTAGTATAGTATAATAAAAATATAATAAGTGCATCGATATTAGTACAACTTAAGTGTATTTCTTTTTTACCTGGGAAAGGCCACATCGAATGGGAGTTTTGTGCCATTTTAATCCATGTCTGGTAGATTTAACTTCATCTAAAAGTTAATTTATAAAAATACAGCACAAAAAAGAAAAAAGAAAAAGTGAAATATGTGAAAAAGTGAAATTTAAAATGTTCTACAAAATTATTTATTTTAATTTATTATAATTTATTACAATTATTTTGGTCAAGAGTTTGTATATGCAGCTGTACTTTTTAAATGTACTCATATTCATATTAAATGAATTTATTGTTGTAATGTACACAATATATAGTACATTAAAGTTTTCTATATGTGAAAGTGTGTGTACTTGTATGTCATTCTCATTTAATCTTTTTGTGCTGCAGAATATTTTTGGTTAGCGTGTGTTTTTTTCTCGTTTAGTATAGATGAGCTCTCTTACACTGAAAAAATGTAAAATCTAAAATTGCAGTATTAGTTATAGGTTTTGTTAAAATTTTAAATTAGAATTAATTTTTATACTGTCTGTTTTCACTTTAATTTTAAACTTTTAGTAATTTTGCTGTTGTTTGTTTTGCTTTTCTTTTAATGGATGAATATTTTTGTGGAAATCATGAAACATTTATTTTTAAGATTCTTTGATGAATAGAAATTTTAAAAGAACAGCATTTATTTGAAATAGAAATCTTTCGTAACATTATAAATGTCTTTACTGGCACTTTTGATCAAT